ATCAAATATAAGTTGGCTGTAGATGTTTGGGTTGATTTCTGGTGTTTCAATTCTGTTCCATTGGTCTATCCATCTGTTTGTGTACCAGTACCATGCTGTTTTGATTACAACTGCCCTGTAGTATGTCCTGAAATCTGGTATTGTGATGCCTCCGGCTTTGTTTTTGTTGTACAAGATTGCTTTAGCTATTCGAGGTCTCTTGTGCCTCCATATAAATTTCAGCACCATTTTTTCCAGATCTGAGAAGAAGGTCTTCGGTATCTTGATTGGTATTGCATTGAATCTATAAATTGCTTTTGGGAGAATGGACATTTTGATGATATTGATTCTTCCAATCCATGAGCATGGAAGATTTTTCCATTTCTTGGTATCCTCTTCTATTTCTTTCTTTAAGGTTTTGTAATTTTCATCGTAGAGATCTTTAACGTCCTTGGTTAAGTTTATTCCAAGGTATTTGATTGTTTTTGTAGCTATTGTGAATGGGATTGATCTTAGAAGTTCTTCCTCAGCCATGGCATTGTCTGTGTATACAAAGGCTGTTGATTTTTGTGCATTGATTTTATACCCTGCTACTTTGCCAAACTCTTCTATGAGTTCCAATAGTCTCTTAGTAGAGTTCTTTGGGTCCCCTAAATAAAGAATCATGTCATCTGCAAAGAGGGATAGTTTGAGTTCTTCCTTCCCAATTTGGATGCCTTTAATTTCTTTTTCTTGCCTAATAGCTCTGGCTAGAACCTCCAGAACTATATTGAATAGCAGTGGTGAGAGTGGACATCCCTGTCTGGTACCAGATCTCAGTGGAAATGCTTCCAACTTTTCCCCATTCAATAGGATGTTGGCTGTGTGCTTTTCATAGATTGCTTTGATTGTATTGAGGAATGTTCCTTCCAAACCCAGTTTGCTTAGAGTTTTCATCATGAACGGGTGTTGTATTTTATCAAATGCTTTCTCGGCATCTATTGAGATAATCATATGGTTTTTCTTCTGCAGTCTGTTAATGTGGTGTATCACATTGATTGTCTTGCGCACATTAAACCATCCCTGCATACCAGGGATAAATCCCACTTGGTCTGGGTGGATGATCTTTCTGATGTGTTGTTGCATTCTATTGGCGAGAATTTTATTGAGGATTTTTGCGTCTATGTTCATCAGGGATATTGGTCTGTAATTCTCTTTCAGTGCTGCATCTTTTTCCAGCTTAGGAATTAAGGTGATGCTGGCTTCATAGAAAGAATTTGGGAGGATTCCCTCTTCTTCGATTGTTCTGAATAGTTTGAGAAGAATTGGAGTTAGTTCTTCTTTAAATGTCTGGTAGAATTCAGCAGTGAATCCATCTGGTCCTGGCCTTTTCTTTGTTGGGAGGGCCTTTATTACTGTTTCAATTTCTGTCTCAGTTATGGGTCTGTTTAGGTTTTCGATGTCTTCCTGGTTTAATTTAGGTAGGTTGCATGTGTCCAGGAATCTATCCATTTCTGATAGGTTTCCCTGTTTGCTGGCATACAAGTCCTTGTAGTAATTTCTGATGATTCTTTTTATTTCTGTGGTGTCTGTTGTTACAGTTCCTTTTTCATCTCTGATTTTATTGATTTGGGTCTTTTCTCTTCTTTTTTTAGTTAGTTGGGCCAATGGGGTGTCAATTTTGTTTATTTTTTCAAAAAACCAGCTCCTCGTTTGGCTGATTTTTTGGAATGTTTTTCTTGATTCAATCCTGTTGATTTCTTCTCTGATTTTAATTATTTCTCTTCTCCTACTAGATTTGGGTCTGGTTTGCTGTAGGTTTTCTAGATCCTTGAGGTGAATTGAAAGCTCATCTATTTGGTGCCTTTCCAATTTCTTGATGTAGGCACCTATTGATATAAACTTTCCTCTTAACACTGCTTTTGCTGCGTCCCATAAGTTTTGGTATGTTGTGCTGTTATCCTCATTTACTTCCAGAAAATTTTGGATTTCTCTTTTAATTTCTTCTATGACCCATTGTTCATTCAGGAGCATGTTGTTCACTCTCCATGTGTTTGTGTATGCTCTAGGGATTCCTGAGTTGCTAATTTCCAACTTCATTCCTTTATGGTCTGAGAAGCTGCATGGTATGATTCTAATTCTTTTGAATTTGCTGAGACTTGCTTTATGGCCTAGTATGTGGTCAATCCTAGAGAAGGTTCCATGTACTGCTGAGAAGAATGTAAAATCTTTAGCTGTAGGATTGAAAGTTCTGTATATATCTGTTAGATCCATTTGTGCTATAGTGTCGTTTAAATCTACTGTATCCTTGTTGATCTTCTGTCCTGTTGATCTGTCTATTTCTGAGAGTGGAGTATTGAAGTCCCCCAGTACTATTGTATTGGGGTCTAAGTCTCCCTTTAAGTCCGTTAATAAATCTTTTAGATAAACTGGTGCCCTGTAGTTAGGTGCATATACATTGATAATTGTTATATCTTCTTGTTGTATTGATCCCTTAATCATTATATAGTGCCCCTGTTTGTCTCTCTTAACAGTTTTTGTGGTAAAGTTTATGTTGTCCGATATTAAGATGGCTATGCCCGCTCTTTTTTCATTTCTGTTGGCATGGTATATCTTTTTCCAGCCTTTCACTTTCAGTCTGTATGGATCTTTGTTGGAAAGATGTGTTTCTTGTAAGCAGCAAATAGATGGGTTTTGTTCCTTAACCCAATCAGCCAATCGGTGTCTTTTAACTGGACAGTTCAGGCCATTCACGTTCAATGTGACTAATGAAAAGTGGTAACTTTGCCCTGCCATTTGCCAAAGATAAGTTCTAATATATGCTTTGAATTCCCTGTGATCTTTTGCTGTGAGCTTTCCTTCCTTTATCTTCTTTCATATTGATGACCGTGTTTCTGTGTTTCTGTGTGTAACACATCTTTAAGCATCTGTTGCAGGGCTGGACGAGTGGCGACAAATTCTTTCAATTTCTGTTTGCTATGAAAAGTCTTTATTTCACCTTCATTCACAAATGATAGCTTTGCAGGATATAATATTCTGGGCTGGCAGTTTTTCTCTCTTAGTACCTGGGCTATATCTCGCCATTCCCTCCTAGCTTGTAGAGTTTCTGATGAGAAGTCAGCAGTGAGTCTGATTGGAGATCCTCTGAGAGTAATCTGACGTTTCTCTCTTGCACATTTTAGGATCTTTTCTTTATGTTTCACTGTGGAGAGTTTAATTACAACGTGTCGTGGTGAGGATCTCTTTTGGTCGTGTTTATTAGGGGTTCTGTGAGCTTCCTGTACTAGGATTTCTCTGTCCTTCTCCAAACCTGGGAAATTTTCTGCTAATATCTCACTAAAAAGGCCTTCTAATCCTTTCTCCCTCTCCATGCCTTCAGGAACTCCTAGAACCCGAATGTTGGGTTTTTTAATAGTATCCTGAAGATTCCTGACAATATGTTTTAGATTTCTAATTTCCCCTTCTTTTCTTTGGTCTGACTGTATCCTTTCCTGTTCTCTGTCTTCTAAGTCTGATATTCTCTCTTCTGCTTCACCCATTCTGTTTGTAAGGCTCTCTATTGTGTTTTTCATTTGATCTATTGAATTCTTCACTTCAGTCACTATCACAGTTTCCTGTTGTTTAGTTGTTTTGTTTCATTTTGATTCCTCAATATTTCATTTTCACGAGAGAGATTTTCTATCTTGTCCATTAAGGATTTCTGTAGTTCAAGAATTTGTTTTTGAGAACTTCTTAATGTTCTTATCAATTTTTTGAGATCTGCTTCTTGCATTTCTTCTATGTCATCATCTTCATAATCTTGAATTGGGGTGTCTTTTTCATTTGAGGGCATCATGGTGACTTCCTTGTTTTTATTACCTCGGTTTTTGCGTTTGTTATTTGGCATATTGGAGATATTTGGTTTCTTCACTGTGGTGCTTTTTCTTGTTATACTATGACTCTAGATTAAGTGGACTATCTGTTTTTGATGGAGCATTAGGGCTTGAGATGGGTGTGGCCTGAGAGCTCTGTTTGGTGTGCCAAAGGTGACACTCCCAGGTTAGGCGTGGTAAATCTCTCTCTCTCTCTTTCTTTTTTTGATTCAAAAGGGAAGTAATTCCGCACAGCTGAACGAAGTTGGAGGTAGTTAGCAGGCAAATGATATACCTACAGGAGCCAGAGATCGGAAGCTCTTTCCCAAGGACCACACAGGGAATCTGTTCGGCCCTCAGAGTGGGCTCAAATTCTCCTTCAGTCTCCCACTGGGTTGCCAAAGTTATGGAATTGTAGCATCTCTGGAGAGTGCTCACGTGAATTCCGTGAGTTCTCTCCCCCACCGTCTCTTTTTTCACAGTCTCAGTTCAGTAGCACCACAAATTTACTAGGTCCTAATCTCCTGTTAATTCGCCCCACCCAGAGTCAGGTTTTTCTGCTAGGCTCAGGGGCGGTGCAGACCTGAGGTCGCTCTGCTTATGACCTATGTCCAAGATGGCACCTGCTCTTTGTCTTGCTCGACCTTGAGAGGTGAGCGGAGAGAGAGAAACCCATGTCCGTACCTGTCACCTTTTTTTTTTCTCTCTCTCTCTCTTCCAGTTAGCCTGGTGAACTTCCCCCCCCCCCCGGGGGGGTCGTTCCCTCTAGTCTCCTCTCTCCGCTTGCCTGCTGGTGTCTTGGGCCATTGAGGTTCGGCTCACCTCGCGTTCCAGCGCTGGTGTGTTGAGTCTGCTGCTGGTGTCCCGAACTGTGGGCTCCCACGCTCTCCACGCAGGTCTGCTGTGAATCACGCATTCTGGAAGAGTTTCTTCTGCTGTTTCCTCCCCTACTCTTCCTTGAACCTGCAGTATCTCCACTTTTATTAAACTATCTCTCCCCGGACTATCAGTGTGCTCCCTTCCTATTCTGCCATCTTGCCTCCTCCCCCGACTCAGAAATTCTTGTTCTGTGAATTTGTTGCAAATAATTCTCTAATGCATTAATTTTCATTTTTAAAATTCTATAAATATCTAAATTCCACTACACTGGATTAGATACACAATGACACATATCTTTTTTTTTTTTTTCAGGCAGAGTTAGACAGTGTGAGAGAGAGAGAGACAGAGACAAAGGTCTTCCTTCCATTGGTTCACCCTGCAATTGGATGCTACGGCCGGTGTGCTGCGCTGATCTGAAGCTAGGAGCTAGGTGCTTCCTCCTGGTCTCCATGTGGGTGCAAGGCCCAAGCACTTGGGCCATCCTCCACTGCCTTCCTGGGCCACAGCAGAGAGGTGGACTGGAAGAGGAGCAACCGGGACAGAACCCGGCACCCCAACTGGGACTAGAACCCAGTGTGCTGGTGCCACAGGCGGAGGATTAGCCTAGTAAGCCGTGGCGCTGACCACTGGCACATATCTTTAATAAAACATTCTGCCCTCACTCCATATGCTGGGACAATAAACAAGCAAATAAGTGAGCTGAAATGAAATGATGCTGCTGTTTGTGTCATCAAATAGGATTGTATATGCAGAGACCATTTCCACAAATATATACTCACCAAAATGATATAATAATGAAAGTCATTATTCCTAGGGATAGAAAGCAGACAACTGAGGATTTGGGGATGAGAGGAAAATCTTAAAAACAAAACAAAACAAAGCCACTGTATAACCTCTTACATTGTTTAAATTTTTGCTGCAAACATGTCTTTTCTCAATAAATGTAACACATGTATCTATTCGCTGGGGTATGTTTGGTAAGAAACAGCAAATTGAACAAAATCATGAGACAGAACTAGGGTCTTTATTGACAAGATGGCCCCAGGAGTATAATAATTTGAATGACTACAGGAGGACTTGGTCAGAATTGGGTCTGTCCAGTGTGTTTTGAGGCAAATTTTGACAACAAGAGAAAATTTGCATAAATGATCTGATTAATATACCTTCTTAATTGTTGACCTGTACCTTTGTCCATTCAGGCTGTTGTAACAAAAACTACTATAAATCTGGTACCTGGTACCTTAAAAGCAGCAGAAACTCCTCTGACAGCTCAAGACGCTGGGGAGTCTGAGATCAAGACACGGACCAATTCAGTGCCTGCTTAGCTCCTGCTTTCTGTTCCACAGAGGCGGAAGGGGCAAGGCAGCCTGGGGCTTCTTTAACATGGGCACTAGAGCCTGGAGGCTCTGGCCTCACATCACAATCAGGCCCCACAGCCCCACTTCCTAATGCCACTGCCTGGGCGCCTAGGTTTGACTTGTGCTTTGGAGGCCGACAGATGTTCTGACCACAGCGTCCTGTCTCGTAGCTGAAGGATTCACTGAAGACTCTTAAGCCAGAGATGAGTGACCGTGGGGAGTTGAGCATTTTAGAGCAGTCACTTTACAGTCAGTGAGATGGAGTGAAATTGGGACAGGCTGGAGGCTGGAAGATGAGTCAGGCGATTTGAGTGGTACAGGGAAGAATTGTAAAATAATAAAATAGTAAAGCAGAGGAGAAATGTGCTAGGGGAAAATAACTGGTCCCTGAGCTCTCTGGCCCATGGGGTTGGGCATCGTGAAGGAGAAACACATGTTCTGAAAGTGGGTGAAGGATGGCGCTGAGCCTTTCCGTCAGTGACACCCAGTGGATATGGCTCAGGGTAAGAGAAAAATCCCTGCATGAACAGGAGTTCTGGAAGGAAAGAACTGGCTAAATTAAAATCACATAAAGAAAACGAGGAGCCAGGCAGACGCCCAGGCCAAGACCACACCCACGATGACCCAATGAAGAGAGGCTGGCGGAGCTGGCAGGCAGCAGCAGGCAGGGGTCTGAGATGTCTGGTGGATTAATACTTCCAGGAAGAGGCACATCGCTCACACCCAGAAGCACACAGAGGGTCTCTGGAGACTTCATGTCTGGGCATTCTATGGAGGCTGGGTGTGGCCAGGGTGGGACTTTTCCTGCTAACTGGAGCAGATGTGGAGGAGAGAGAGGGGGGTGAATTTCAGGATTCTTGGCTTCCTGCCTCCGCTGTGGCTCTAACTGGATTTGTAATATTTGGCAAGTCATTTAAATTTGTGTTGGTTCAACAGCTTCCTCTGTGAAATGAGGTTAAATGTGCAGCAGTTGGGATTTGGGGAGCTTACGTAGAAGAGGAGCTGATAACCCCAGGCTTGAGAGTCATAGGAAAGCTTCCCGGAGTTGGTGTTACACAGAGATTATTCTTCAGATCTCAAAATGTTAGGTGAGGTCAAGGATAAGGAGTCAGGGCACGAGGAACTGAGCTGAGTAGAGGCGATAGTATGAACAAAAGCTCCAAGTCCAGGAATGGAACTGTACTGCCAGAAAGACTAAGTAACTGGATACAACTTCTGGGCATAGATTGGTAAAATGCATTCATTTCCTTTGTCTCAAATGGCTTCAAACAAAGTATCACTGTTGACATTTTGCAGCGTCTACATTCCAGAAGCTACCTGCCCACAATCACGTAGCTTCAAAATGGTAGAACTAGGGTCTGTCTGCTCCAAACCATTTTCACTATAGACTATTAGCTCTTCCCCCACATTAGCACATTAAGATGGGTGGGTGCAGGAGCAGTAAGAAAGGTGTACTTTTCTCAGTGGATCCAGCAGTTTACATTTTGAAAGTGCTCTTTGAATCTGTACCGAAGAATCAAAGGGAAAAACTGAAAACTTATGGGTCATAAGGTAAAGAGGATTTGTGCTGCACATACAAGGAAGCAAAAAATCACTAGCCAAAGTGGTCAATAGAGAACGCACCCCTAGCCCTGGTGTTTTTCTCAGCAGTGTCCTTTAGAAAGGGTCTCACATTTATCTGCAACTAACTTAAGCTAAGTTTGGTGACTTTGATTCTTCATTTCAGACTTGCACACTAAGCCAAAGCAATTTGATGTTTATTCTACTACAACTGGTTCTTCCAGAGCTATCTGATTTTGAGAAAGCCAGGTTTTCAGAGACCTGGAACAGTTTTAGCCAGTCCTTGAATCTTCCTTCTAGAGTTTTTGCTATATGGTAGGCTATACTCACTTATTCTAAGGTCTTTTTCCAAATTAAATTGTTATTTATCCATTTATCTTTCTGCTTATTTATTTGAAAGGCAGAGAGAGAGAGAGAGAGAGAGAGAGAGAGAGAGAAACTCCCATTCATTGGTTCACACCTCAAATTACTTCATGGCCAAGACTGGGATAGGCCAAAGCCAGAAACATGATCCAAGTCTCCTACATGGATGGAAGGAAGCCAGTTACTTGGCCAATCACCTGCTGCCTCCCAGGTTGCACAGTAGCAGGAAACTGGAATTGGGAACAGAGCCAGGAGTCAACCCAGGCCCACCAATATAGGATGTGAGCCTCCCAAGTGGTATTGTAACAACTGGTCCAAATACCGGTTCCCATTCTGAGCTTTTTGATATTTTTGTTTCTTTCTTTTTGCTTTTTTTGTTTGTATTTTCCATGTGTAGGCTCAGTACAGTAACTAGGTGTAAATTTTATGCTATTTTTCTGTATTTTTAGAATCTTTTGAGGTTCCTGAATATGAGAGCTTTATTTGTCCTCAAAAATCTCACTCATCTTTTCAAATATTACTTCTCACCCATTCTCCCTTGCCTCATAGTCTGGAATTCCTTTTAGAAATAGATTAGATACTCTTATACTATCTTGAAGTCTTTTGACTTCTTTTAATAAATTCTATATTTTTCCCTCTCTGCTACATCCTAATTTCCTCAGATCCTCCAAAAGAATTCCCTCTCCAGCTTAATCAAATCTGCCATTTAAGCCATTCTATCAGATTTCATGTTGGAAATTGTGTTTTCATTTCTAGGCATTCCTTTTGCTTTTTTTCCCCAAGAACTTGTTGTTTCTCCTATATCAATCTTCTTCCCAAATCTCCTTCACTGATATCTAAGGATTTGAAACATATTTATAATTTTTTTTTATTTTAGTGCTTCAATTTTAAGGATGATGTCTATTGTAGATTTTGACTCTTGTTTAGGGTGGATGTCTCTCTAAGAGTTCCATGATTTTGGACTATGAGTTCATCTTCAGCACAGCTTTATCTTTGAGACTTCTGCGGGGCTTGTGTTGAAGGCATGCCTTATAGGCAGCTTCAATTTCACTTCTGCCCAGCATTTTTCTGAATCCCTCTCTGCTACCAGGAGAGCCCACACGTGTGTTATAATGGAATGCAAGAGCTGTCGATGGACATATCCTTTCTAGGTACTTCTCAAGGAACAAATTATTCTGCATCCCATCCCTTGTCCATGTTGAGGCAAACATGCTTCCTTATCCTAACGCTGTGCTTTTTACTGGGTCTATTCCCCTGGAAGGTTTCGATTTTACACAAGCATCTTTCTAACATCTCTGTCTTACAAAGATCCATAACCCAGTCATGTGTTCTAATGTGAAATTAAAATGTCAGCATCTCAGTGACCAGTTGAGAAATGACCTTAATGCCTCAGTCTGTATAATCCACAGCAATTACCTGTGAAACGTCTCTTCTATATTCTGATTCATCTCTTTTGAGGGGATTGGGAAAGGATCCTGGGTTTTTTCTCCACTGTCAGAGAATTAGGCTCTTCATTCGAGAGGGTTTTTCATGCCCAGAATTTCAAGGTGATTTTCAGTATGCGGAAAGTTAGGTTATTTCATAGGTTAACCAAAGTAAATAAACCCACCTCTCCTGGAACCCGAAGTCCCACACTCATTCACTCTTCACTTAAAGGTTCTCTCTGGGTTCTAGGGAGGCCCCATTGAGCTGTCTGTCTCTACTCTGGGAGTGGCCAGCATCAGCCTGAGGGCCTCTGAGCACCATGTTCTATGGCGTATTCCTACTCTTCTGTTCATGGGAGACATGAGCAGGTGCATCTCTCACATATCATCAACTAGATGCCTCTCTCTTGAAATTTGGAATTTTATATGCTAAAATACTCTTGGTCCTGTACTTACAGTCTTGAGATAGTTCTTTCATGGACTTTAATTTCAAAGATAATTGTTAGGATAATATGATTATCATTTGTATCATGATATAGCAATGAAAGTTTCCACCTGTTTTCAGCACTTTAGTGATGTGTTCTAAATAAAATAGTGGGAAAGAAAATGTGAACAGGCACCATAAAATGGGTTTCAAAGAACTAATTAAGAAGTGACTTGTCAATTTTAATAATAATAACAACACTTTGTGGTTTTACATGCTTACTTTCAAAGCAACTTCAATTTTATTATCTCCTTTTAAGTGATCACGACTTTGTTAGGGAGACTCAAAGGAAGAAGGCAATGTTGTTGGAAAACTGCTCTTTTAAAAAAGTTACTATTTCCTCTCAATAATTCTGAAAGGGATGTTGCTGTTTTGTTTTGTTTTGCCTAGTTTTCACATTTACAACTGAGTATAAAATTCAGCTACTTGCTCAGAATCATAGATGTCAAATGTCTGTTCTTTTTTGCCTACTCCCCCTTAAATATTTGCATATCTCCTCTCTAAAGACCAATAGTTTCCTCTAAGGAAATGTGTTTTCCATGTATCTGCCTTTGGATTTCTGCTCCGGTGTGTGTGAACACACATATGCAATGATAGGATACTTGGAGTCCCTTTGCATAGTGAAAAAAGTATCACTTTCTGAAAATGGTTTCCTTCCTCATATAAACCTGCTCACACCCTGTAACCACAGTCTTTTGGCAATTGGTTAGACCTGTGTAGATACCTGGATCAATATGATCTTTTCTTCAGCAAGATCTTCTATGCAGGGAACTGGAAATTGAACCTTAGGGAAAGCAAGTCAGCAAGTTATGGATGCTTTGCCATCAGGATCAGAGAACCAGAGAGAAAAAGAGAAACTTCAGGTTGGAAGAAAGAGGAAAGTCCACAGAGAAGGTCAGAGGAAAGTCCTTAGGGCTCCAGTCCTGTGACAGTTCCTTTCTGAAACAGCATCCTTGTTTTGTCTCCAAAGGAACATTGTTCATGTAACACATTTTTTCTCTAGAAATGGCAAAAAAATTAACACTTAATATTTGATGGTGCTTATGTATGCAGAAATTCTAGCAGGAAGAAGTTAGATGTTTGAGAAAAAGCTTAGCTCATTGTTTTCCTTATCATCTTTCTGGAGCACATCCTCATGTTCCTCTCTGGGTCTGGATGGTCTTGATGATCCTTCCTGCCTTCTCCTACATAAATCCACAGCTTCTTCACTTGATCACCCACATACTCTCTCTTTTTTTTTTAGAAAACTTTTATTTAATAAATATAAATTTCAAAAGTACTACTTTTGGATTATAGTGGTTCTTTCCCCCATAACCACCCTCCCACCCAGAAACCATCCCATCTCCCACTCCTATTCCCTCTCCCATCCCGTTCTTCATTAGGATTCATTTTTAGTTATCTTTATATACAGAAGATCGACTCTATACTAAGTAAAGATTTCAACAGTTTGCACCCACAAAGATACACACAAAGTATAAAGTACTGTTTGAAGACTAGTTTTACGTTAATTCTCATAGTACAACACATTAAGGACAGAGGGCCTACATGAGTAGCAAGTGCACAATGACTCCTGTTGTTGATTTAACAATTGACACTCTTATTTATGATGTCAGCAATCACCCAAGGCTGCCAAGGCTATGGAAGCCTCTTGAGTTCATAAACTCTGACCTTATTTAGACAAGGCCATATTCAAAGTGGAAGTTCTCTCCTCCCTTCAGAGAAAGGTACCTCCTTCTTTGATGGCCCCTTCTTTCCACCAGGATCTCACTCACAGAGATTTTTCATTTAGGTCATTTTTTGCGACAGGATCACTCACACTCTCAACTGGTATTATCTATCAGGTTTGCTTTCCTTAAAAACCAAATTCTTAAAAGTTATGACAGTTATTCCTTAAATACAATTTTATTTTAGATTATATAATGTTTAAAATTCCTCTGAGATAAATATTTCAATTCTTTTTTAAAAGATTTATTTACTTATTTGAAAGTTAGAGCTACAGAGAGAGAGGGAGAAACAGAGACATTCCATCTGTTGGTTTGCTCCCTAGATGGCTGCAATGGTTACGGCTGGAGCAGACTAAAATCAGGAGCCAGGAACTTCATCAGGGTCTCCCACATGAGTGGCAGAGGCCCAGGCACTTAGGCCATCTTCCATTGCTTTTTTCAGGCCATTAGCTGGGAGCTGGATTGAAAGTAGAACATCCAGGACATGAACCGATTCCCATATGAGATGCCAGCATTGTAGGTGGCAGCTTTATCCACTACGTCACCATGCCTGCCCCCAGAAATTTTTAAATTTTGAACACTGGGAATAAAGCAATCCTGATTTATATTGAGATCTAAGGGTGTGGGGTGCCTAAAATGGGGTGGATGTTAATGCCTTTGGAACTCAAAATGCTGAGTAGTCAAGAAACTATGCTGGTGATAAATGAGTTTTTAAAGATTTATTTTATTTATTTGAAAGAGAGTTACAGAGACATAAAGGGGCAGAGAGAGAGAGAGAGATATCTTCCATCTGTTGGTTCACTCCCCAAAATGCCATATTGCCAGGGCTAGGTCAGGCCAAAACCAGGAGCCAAGAGCTTCTCCTGAGTTTCCCGCACGGGTGGCAGGTGCCCAAGCACTTGGGCTATCCTCTGCTAGTTTCCCAGGCACATTGGCAGGGAGCTGGATTGGAAGTGGAACCACCAGGACTTGAACCAAAGTACTCATATGGGATGGTAGAATGGCGGGCAGAAGTTTAGTCTGCTATGCCACCACATTGGCCCCCATAAATTAACTTTTAAAAGTCATATAATGTCATTAAATGCAATCTGAAAGTATGCGGTGGATAGATCACGTGCTGGAGTCGTGAGGAAGGATGGTGGATACAGCAGTGAGGGGGTGGGATCCAGCAAGATATTGAGTTGAGTCTGCAGTGAAACCTGTCAACTTCAGTAAGAGGTGTGGGGTTTATCCTCAGTGATGAAAGATCCATCACCTCACTGTCGCTCCCCCTCTTCGTGGAGGAACGACACTAAACCCTGCCTAGGCTTCATATCCGAGTCACGGCACCATTATGTCGCTCCCCCTCTTCGTGGAGGAGCAACACAGGACCCTGCGCTGTTCTTTCGTCTGCTCGGCCCTCCCCGGGTTTGCTGCTGGTTCTTCCCGGGTTGGCTACTATCCCTTCCACCTCCGTGGAAGGGCAGTTCCCCCTGGCCGCATTCCCCACTTCCGCAGGGGAGCGGCACACCGCCGGCCGGCTCTTCTCGGGGGCTGCACGGGTTCCCTTAGATGTTCCCCATAGATGTTTCTGGTGCATGCCGTCTCTCTCCTCCTTTATAGTCCTCCTCCGCCAATCCCAACTCGGCTGAGTACGCTGCTCTCCAATCAGGAGCAAGTCCTACAGTTAATTGGTTGAACTGGAGGCAGCTGTGCGGAAGCTGTTTACTTCTCTCCCAGCGCCATATTGTGGGAGAGCAGATGCATAGAATAAGTCCTAATTCGAGCAACTTAGTCTAGTCCGGATTGCTCCCCACAGATCCCCCTTTCTTTTTATTTTTTGGCGTTGATACGCGCCTGTCTTCGGTGTCCCGCAGCACACACTCTGCTGTACTTGCTAGAGTTGCCACAGGCTCTTACAAGTCCTATCAATCAGGAAAACCGAATCCGGGTCCTCTCTTCGCCATTGTGAGGAGGTTTTTAGGCGCTGATGCGTGCCTGTGTTCGGTGCCCTGCAGCGCATGCTCTGCTCTGCTAGAACTGCCTGCAGGTGTTTACAAAACCTATCAGGCAAACCGAATCCAAGCCTCCTAATTGTTGCATTGTGGGGAAGCTTTACTGATGTTAATTCGTGCCTGTCTTCGGTGACCTGCGGCTAGCCGCCCAGGTGCTCATCGCCTCACTAATCGGGCAGACCGAATCCAAGCCTTCTAATTGGCATGTTGAGGGGAGGCCTTATTTCTCTCTATTTCTCTATCTCCGGGCATTCCTATCTCTCCCATTTTACTTCTATCTGCCAACATTCCCATTTCTCTCACTCCACTTCCAAACTTCTGTTTCTCTTATCCCCGCAGCTTCCCGCTCTCATTCCATTTCTAAACTTCTGTTTTCTCTTATCCCCGCGGCTTCCCGGCGCCTCGCCCTGCCGGCAGCTTCGCAGCTTCCCGGCGCCTCGCCCCGCCAGCGGGCTCCGCCCCGAGGCTGCTTCTCCGCGCCTCACCGGCTCTGAGCCGCTTCAGCCCGCGCCTCATCTGCGCGGCTTCCCGGCTTTGCGCGGTCCGCGGTCTCCACGCTTAACCCTTTCGCGTCTGAACCACGGCCTACGCCAGCGTTCCCTATCTATTCACGCCCCGTGCTCTCTCTGCACGCGGCGGCTTCCGCGAGTAACACAGCGTAGCTTGCGTCTCCACCACTAGCATTCAATCCAAGTTCCCCGGGCTAGCCTGGCGAATTCAACCCAGCGTACGTCTCCACCCCACGATTTGGCTTCCCGTCCTTTGCTCCCCGGGCTAATCAGACGGATCCCAATCTGGCTTACGTCTCAGCTTCTGGTTTCAACTTTTCGCCCCCTATTCCCGGGCTAACTTGAGAACCCCAAAGTGGCTTTCGTTTCCGCCTCGGCCTGCCCCCCGCGGCTTCAATTTCCCTAACATTTTTCTCTACCCGGTATGTTTCCCCAAACTTTCCTCCAACGATATTCCTCCCTCATTTCTCCTGGCCTCTCCCCACAGTCCGCGTCCGAGTCTGTTTGTTCTAGCTTTCACTTTCGCTTTCGACCTTAAAGATTTCTCCCAGCTTCCCCCCGTAGTCCGTATCCGAGTCTATGCCTAGGCTTTCAACAGCTTCTTCCAGCACCCTTTTCGTCCGGCTTTTCCCTAGGCTGTTTGCTAGTCTCTCTCTCCGGTATTTTCCCTAGGCTGTTTGCTAGTCTCTCTCTCCGATATTTTCACAGTTCTTCCCGTTTCTTCCCTCCTAAGTTTGCTATCTGTCCTAGGTTTCCTATCCAAGCTAGGTTTCCTATCCGAGTCACGGCACCATTATGTCGCTCCCCCTCTTCGTGGAGGAACGACACTAAACCCTGCCTAGGCTTCATATCCGAGTCACGGCACCATTATGTCGCTCCCCCTCTTCGTGGAGGAGCAACACAGGACCCTGCGCTGTTCTTTCGTCTGCTCGGCCCTCCCCGGGTTTGCTGCTGGTTCTTCCCGGGTTGGCTACTATCCCTTCCACCTCCGTGGAAGGGCAGTTCCCCCTGGCCGCATTCCCCACTTCCGCAGGGGAGCGGCACACCGCCGGCCGGCTCTTCTCGGGGGCTGCACGGGTTCCCTTAGATGTTCCCCATAGATGTTTCTGGTGCATGCCGTCTCTCTCCTCCTTTATAGTCCTCCTCCGCCAATCCCAACTCGGCTGAGTACGCTGCTCTCCAATCAGGAGCAAGTCCTACAGTTAATTGGTTGAACTGGAGGCAGCTGTGCGGAAGCTGTTTACTTCTCTCCCAGCGCCATATTGTGGGAGAGCAGATGCATAGAATAAGTCCTAATTCGAGCAACTTAGTCTAGTCCGGATTGCTCCCCACACTCACTTTCCACTAATCCTCTCACAAGTGGCCAACCCTCTACCTAAAAACAGTGTATAGGTTTCCAGAAGGAGTAGAGAAAGCAGTTCACTCTAGTTCTAAATTAGCACAAAAGTGGTGCCACACCCAGAGAACACTCTGGAGGATGTCCCTGTTCACCATGCTAACAACGGGTGCTTGTTATCCACTGGATGTGATGTCCTTTGTGTGCCATCAGTTGGGTGCCCTGCAACACAAGCAAAGTGATATGTAAATACCTGCACACTGGAAGACCCACCCACAAGGAGCCCCCTTGTAAAAAATAACTCACAAATATATGTATATATATATATATATATATGTATATATATTTGAAAGGCAGAGTTACAGAGGGAGAAAGAGAGAGGGAAGGAGAGAGGGAGAGAGAGATCTTTAATTTGCTCATTCATTCCCCAATAGGACCTGTAAGATTCCTTTTTAAAAAACAAAAACTAAACTCAAAAATAAATCCAAGTGTTGTGGCATAGTAGGTTAAGTTGCTTCCTGTGACACCAGCATCTCATATGGGCAACAGTTCATTTCCTGGATGCTCTACATCCAATCCAGCTCCCTGCTAATATATCTGGGAAAGCAATTGAGGATGGCCCAAGTCCTTGGACCCTTGTACCCATATAGGAGACCTAGAAAAAGCTCTTGGCTCCTGGCTTTGGCCTTGCCCAGCCCTGACCATTGTGGTCATTTGGAGAGTGAACAAGTGGACAAAGATCTCTCTCTCTGCCTCTCCTCTGTAACTCTGACTTTCAGATAAATAAATAAATCTTAAAAAAGAATAAATCCATTTTTGGTGAGTTGAAAATTGATAATAGTCATAACTCAGCACTTTATGTGTATTATCTCCACTTCTCCCAAAATAGGCAAAGTAAGAACAAAGGAAAGCTGTAAATCCTAAGTGTTATGTGAATTATACAGAATGACAAGATTTACAGCTTATAGATCTGAGGCAATAAGCCACAGTTATGAGACTTAAAAACCCAAGCTCTTATCCCATTACACTGCTCTCCCACAAAGGTGACCTATGGGTGAAACATAAGCTCTAAATCTCCTTAATTTTTCCTTCTCATTTTGCAGTTAGGAAAAAATCCAGAATGTGTTTTTTTCTGACTTGCTGCCTCTCCGGTTTTACTAAATGTTATGTCTTGAAAATCCAGAAGACATATGTTTCCAGGGGTTAAATCAAATACACTCCTATTACTGTTCCTTGTGCTCATCATCCTTTCTTCATCTACTAAAATCACAAATCTCATTTGGAACTTCATTTCTAGAAATGCTGTACCCAAAATAAATGGATATTTTTATTTTCAAAGTGGAAGACTATTTTACTTAAAATATCTTTTAGCAAATGGATCTCTTGCCTACCAAGTTTCTCCGCAGAAGTGAGAGGCTAGCAATCAAGCCATCTTATGTCACTTTTGTGTTCAATGGGGATATTTGTAACACAGGTCAACTTGAATAGCATTTCAAATAGGAAGTGTGGGGTGGGGTTTTGGTTTAGTGGTTAAGGCACCCAGGTACCAGATTGGAGTGCCTGGGCTTGACCACCGACTCCAGTTCTGGCTCCTAACTCCAGATTCCTGTTAATGTAGTCCCTCAGAGGCAGTGCTGGTACCTCAAGCAATTCAGTTCTTGCCACCATCATGAGATGCCTAAATTCTGTCCCCAGCTCCCGGATTTGGTCTGGACCAGTCCCCATCATTGTGGGCATTTGAGGAGTGAACCAGCCAATGGGGCTCTCTCTGTCTGTCTACCTCTCAAACAGATAAATAAACATTCTTTAAAAATGTGAAATAATTGTTCTCCAAGTTGAGAGAGCATGAGGATCAGTTAGAGGACTGGCTACCACACAGGTGTTTGAGCCCATCCCCAGAGTCCCTGGTTCAGTACATCTGAGGGGAAACCTGCAAACCTGTGTTTCTAGCAAGTTCCCGGCAGGTGCTAATGTTAATGCTAATGACTGGGGAATACTCCTGGAGTCTCTGGAATAGACTTATTCTAATCTTGTTGTACTTTCATTCCTATTTGTAGCACAGTCTGTATACATTTTGTTTCTAAATATATATCTTTCATTAAAAGTAAAAAAGGGAATATGAGTATCATATTGGCTTTAATTGTACCTGTCCCCAGTGTTTTTGATAAGCGTCATCACCCATTCAGCCTCAGGATCCAAACAAATTAATCTCCCATCTTTCAATGTCACTCTGAAAAGAAAAGAGCATTTTGGTCAAATAACAGACATGCTCAATTTAATAATGAATTAAATATACTCATTAGAATTTCAAATGCCTAGAAATGATATGTTAATATACGCTTAAAATAAACACTTTGATTTTTTCAAGCTACATTAATTATATTATTAGAATATGAATTTCAGTCATATCAGTGGGCAAAACCAATTTTTAGATAAATTAAAGAATATCATTGTTTAGATCCTTTTGAAGTCTCAACTAATCAGCAAACATGTTGGACTTCAGGGATACACGGTATAACGTTAGACTCTGGGAAATCTATATAAGCATACCTTCCAGGCTAAAGATTGTCAGTCGTCTATTGTGTGTTCTTCATTGTTAGATTTCTGTTAATTCTATTACCTTTTAGGATCTCATTAAATCCTTATCAATTATTGGGCACAGAGAGCCTAAACTGCTTATCAAAATTAACTATGTAGCTTTCGACTCTGCTCCACAGATTCACAAACTCCACCACTTTTCAGGAACACTCTGAAATCCATTGCACCAAGACTTGGCCATCTTACCATAATCTGAGTGAGAAGAGTGCATCGCAGAGTTTAGGAAGATGACATAATTTAGTATCCAATTATGAAAAGAAATAATACAGCTATAAATTCTTAGCATATTCCCAATGGAGGATAGCTACAAAACATTACGCATAATGGTGAAAACTTGAAAAGAAGAAAAGGAGGTATACTGTCAACATAGTTATCTGTACAAAATTTACAAAGATAAATACAAGGCATAAGCTTTGCAAAAGAGGAAATTAAACTGCCATTTCTCCCAGATAATGTGGCCTGAGTGGAATATTTGTGGCTACAAAACACATACAAGATTTCTTCTAAAAAATAGCAACTGAGATGTTACTTTATAAAGGATTTTATAAAGAAGTCTTTTATAATGGCATAAGTAGTATAAGTAACTAGAAATAGAGTATTTTTGAATAATAAAAAATATGTATGGAGCAAAGTATAAAACTTTGCTTATGGAGAAAAGTATAAAACTTTAAGAACATTAAAGAAAGTCTCAATAAATTGGGAGCTAGTTTCTATTTTTGAAATGGAAAGCTAAACACCATAAAGATGTCAATAATTCCAAAGTTAATCTATAATTTTAAAGAAATTTCATTCAAAAATTATCATTTATCCTAGTACAAATCTATAAGAAGCTTATATGATGAACAGGAAGAGTAGACGTCTAAGAAGAGACAAGCCACTCCTGAAGAAGGTGCAGGGATTTGCCATTCCAGATGCTAAGAATGATTATAAAATGTTAATTATGAAGACTAACTATAGGTATAGACAGATTCATCAATGTGGCAGAGCAGAACTATGCCTCCACTTACAGGGGAATCCAATTTATGGCAGAAGTGGCATTGCAGTGGCTGGCACTTGATACAGAAGTTAGGCTGCTGCTTGAGATGTCCACGTTCCAGATTGGAGTGCCTGGGTTCCAGTCCAAGCTCTGCTTCCCGGTCCAGATTCCTGATAAGACATACCCTGGGAGGCAGCAATGATAGCACAAATACTTGGCTTTCTGCCACACACACGGGTGGCCTGGGTGGAGTTTTTAGGCTCCCTGCTTCTGCCTGGCCCAGCTCTGGCGGTTGTGGATGTTTGGGGAGTGAACCAGTCAATGGAAGATTTCTCTTTCCCTCTCTTTCTTTTAAATGAATAAAATACTTTGTTCAAAAAACTAAAGAGGTTACATTGTAGATCAATGGGAAAATGATGATATTTGAATAAACAGTACTGGAACAATTTATGGCTCAAATGAAAAAATAAAGTGGAAGAGGGTAATTCCACATCATATACAAAATTCAATTCCAAACAGATTCAGGTATTTAACATAAAGGAAAAACTATAAAAACTTCAGAAGATAATGTAGAAGAACGTTTTTCTGAATTCAATGAATGAAGTATTTTTTGAAATAAGATACAAAAAGTGCTCACTAGAAAAGAGTATACTACTAGACTAAAATACAGCTAAACTGTACTTCACAGAAGACACTACACTAAGTTCACAGAAGACACTATATCAATATAAAAATTGAGCCACAAATTGAAATATGAGCATTTCTATCCATAAAACTGACTTGGGATTAATATAATTTATATCCAGAATACATAATGAGCACCTGTGAGTCCATGGGGAAAAACACTATCTAAATAGGAAAAGGAGCCAAAGAAATGAATATGAATTCACAAAATAAGGAACACAAATGCTAACAAACATATGAAAACATATCTAACTATTAATACAAGAATGAAAACTCAAAGAACAATGTGATACCATTACATACCCGTGATATTCACAGCAGCAGTACTGGCTGGTATGTATGCAGGAAGAAGTGTCAATTGCTACAGTTACTCTGGAACACAATTTGGCATTGTCTAGCAAAACTGAAGATGTCCAAACCTAAGCATAGCAAATTATTCCTAGGAAAACTCTCCTATGATCCCATCTGCTGGTTCACTTCCCAAATGTCCACAACAGCTAGAGCTGGGCCAAAACTGAAGTCAGGAGCTGGAAACTAAATCCAAATCTCCCTTGTTGGTAGCAGACAATCAGCTACTCAAGCCATCACCTGCTGCCTACCAGGGTCTGCACTGATAGGAAGCTGGAATTGAGAACTAGAGCTGAGAATCGGACCCAGGCATTCTGACAGGGCACATGAGTATCTTAGCTACTAGGTTAAATGCCTGATCCTAGGTTATCTGTGGTACAGGAGGAAGTGAGAGTTGAACGGTGAGATTGGTTGAGTGCACAGCACATCATTCACCGCTTACATAGAAGGATCCATGTGGAAAGCCCTGACAGAAGTCTCTAAACTTCGACAGTGACCCCGGCAAGAATCTGGGGACTTGAGTCCTATAACTGCCAATAACTGAATTCTATCAATCCCTGGCTGGAAGTGGATTCCTCCCTGGAGCCTCTGGATGAGACATCAACTCAACTGACACCTTGATTTGCTTTTTGAAGCCCCAAGCAAAGAACTCAGCCCAACCACCCAGGCTGCTGACTGACAGCATTGCAAGAAAATGAATAGGATTTTAAGTCATTAAATTGTGGGGATTTGTTACCTAGCAATGAACAACTGAAACAGTATATGCAATATAGTTCATAATTTTAAAAAGTTTTAAAGAAATGTAAAAGTGATCCCTACTATCTCTAAGCTCTGTTTTTTTGTTTGTTTGTTTGGTTTTTTTTTTTTTTTTTTTTGGCTGATGTCTCTGAAGTGATCACTAGTGCCATTGGCCCATATTGCACTTCTCATATACTCAAATGTATACTAGAGAGATTTGAAGATAATTAATTATCCACACATCCTTTCTAAGGACTGTGTATCACAGCTCGTTGTCCATGTCAACTGACTTCACAGTCAAGTCCACTCAGAATATCTCATGCACTATGTCTCCCTTTGAAACACATTTTTTTCTTTTTGCAAAGGATGTATGAAATTTTCTGACATAAGAGCACACAGACTGACAAGCTCCTTCCCATATTGTGCAAGAATAAGTCCTGGAGCCCTGGTCTGTCTTGCACATTTTGTAAGCACATGTTGCCAAGCCCAGTGCTGGTGTCTTCAATACCCCCTCACTACTTACATGACTTCTTTTGTGCTGCAGTAAGGACCTGAAGGTATCATCTGGACATTTTTAATCAATTTTGGAGAAATAAAATTGGAATATATCTGAATACACTGACATCGCAATTCTTGAGATTCATAGAAATCAGCTGCATGAGAAAAGGATATAAAAATCCTCAGTGAGGACAAAGACAGCCACATTGTACTAATCTTTACTAGAAATCTGAAATTAGTGCAGTAAGATACTCAACTGGACTCACAAATTCAGTACTGACAGAAACACTTAGGGAGACTATCATTCAGCCCTAATCATATGCTGTTATTATGATCAATGAACACTTAATTGTAGGTGCAATAGACCAGTAATTCATTGCTTAAAACCATGCATGATCAATGAGATAACACATTTAATGGTAAAATCAACTTGATTCCCTTCCATGAAAAGTTGTAAACATAGAGAAAACGTGTGAACTTTATCAAATGAAAACAGCAGTTTCCATCTGCCTTACCCCACCAAAATAAGCCCCCAAACCTCTTTGCAGTCATGCTTTTGCTAGCATCTCTAATAAGAAAAGCACAGATTCATACAGCCAGATGTTTGCAGAAACTTAAACACATGTTTTCATTTGAGTCACCAAGAAATTCTTTGTGTACCATCTAAACATATCTCATTTCAGGGTTTAATTATACAGTTTTTGCATTCTCCTTATTGCCATATATAAACTTGTAAGATGTGGGATCTGTGCTAAAATTTTCTGGTGCCCCGAAAGAAAAGATGAAAGCCACAGCTGACTTACCAAAGATGCCCAGGACAAGGGCAGCTAGCAGGAGGGGTGCTGGTGAACTCCCTAAAGCCATGTCTGACCTTGATCTTGACCCTGGTGTAGATGGTGGAATCAGCAGTACAGCACACTACTACGTGCTCTCTATAAACTTGAGGGGTTTTGGTTGCTCTTATTGCATTTGCACTCCTGATTGAAGAATGAAAGGTACAGTTTATAGAGTGGCATGCTTGCCCCTTATGAGCCAATAAGGAAGCTAGGCTTGGTTTCCAAACTCTCTTTTAACTGGCAGGCGTGAGGCAGAATGAAACGGCTTGATGAATAAAGAAATCAATGTATTATTTCCTGGGAGTGAAACTGCATAACTGTGAAGGGATGGGTTCAGCGCCAGTTGCAGTTAGTGGTAACACAGACATGAGTCATGTGAGCATCTGTGCATTTATATAAAGACCATGTTTGCACAAAGGAGGGAATTCAAGTGATTTAAGATTATTTTTCCTCAGTCAATATTTGCTTTTGGCTTTTGTACCTATTTCGCATAATCCCATTAAGGTCTTAATAGAATTTGCCAGGCTGAAACTATACTTAGAGCAAAAATAAGCTATCAAAAATTGGAGTTCAGATGATAAATTTTGTCATGTCCAGAATAGCAAACTACAGTTTACTCATGGTTTGAAGGTGGCCGGTTCCATAGGCCAGAAGCTGTACTAAGTAACAGTGAACTGTGAGCTTTAGTTTTTTGTTTTTTGTTTTTTTTTTCTGAAACAGTGACTTCAATTATCCCATACTGACCACTTGTTTTGGCACTAATAAATCAAAGCCTTTGTATGAGTTCCCTAGTGTTTACCCTATCAAAGTGCTGCAGACTGAGTTGGTTGAAGCAACAGAAACTTTTGCCTTACAATTTTGGAGGCCAGCAGTCCAAACTCCAAGAGTTGGCAGGGTTGGTTCTTTTTAGTACTGCAAGCAAAATAGCAAGAAAATGACTCAGCTTAGCCCCGTCCAGGTTGTCGTGTCACCTAGCCCAACCTGGTGATCCAGAGCCAGAATAAAATGCTGATTGTTTCAAAGTGCTACATTTTGGGGAAACAATAAATAACTGATAGAGTCACTTAGCAGGCCACATAAAGCTGCTGAACAGGTTTCTTATTTCAAATTGCTTAGCTACAATATTCACAATATTCCCCTCAGTGTATCCTGCAGGTGTTCCTGGTACGCATGGCTATTAGTAATTTGTACCCTGAGACTGGTTCTCCAAATTTTAAAAAGCCAAGATTCTAGGGAAGAATTCTCTTTAGCAATCATGAGAATGTGGTTTAATGTAAATGGCCTTGAACTAAATACCAGAAATCAGAGTTCTGGCCCAGTGTTGCAATAAAATAGTTATATCATTTGGTAACTATAAAGTGGTGTCTGAGCCTCTACGGCCCCATAGATAGAATGAGAAGATTATTTGTGTGTGGGTGTACGTGTGTGTTTGTGTGATCTCTCGGGTTTTGAACGGAACTCCTGCCTGGCTGCCAAGAGCCCAGTCCTTAATCTTAATATTTGACTTGTTTTTTTCCTGTCCAGTCTATCTGGTTTCTTTTATCAGAGAATTGTTGAAAACAATGGGAACGAATCCAGCTGCTCTTCACTTAATATCTTTATCACTTTTAATGTGGAGGACGTGGCATCCGCAGCACGCCAGCCTGCTCCCAGGGAAGAGACGGGCCTGGTTGTGGTTTAAGAGACTCTTTCCCTTGACCTTAAGGCCTATGGGTCAAGCTCTTAGGTTTTAAGCTAAGGCCAGCCAAGGAAGAGAAATCACAGCTTGATGCCTGGCTCCCTGGGTGATTTAGAACACTAATGTAAATACAGTAGCTCTAATTTCTTGGAATTTGAAATTGGTTCTTATTTTCTGCAGAATCAAAAGGAAAAAGCTCACCATAGCACCTTGAGAGGTGCAGTGCAGTGCTCACTTCTACTCAGCAATGTTCTATGTTCTCCCATCAGTGTTCACTCTTTCCCTGCCTCACTTCAGATATCTCTAGTATTATACTCTTTAATGTCATTTTCCAAGTAGAGTCCAAGATGTGCACAAGTTTATCTTGGAGATGACCATAAAAACACAAAATGAGGGAGTAGAGAAAATCAGGGTAAGTAGTTAATAGAGAAAATACATATATTTTTAAGACACAATAGATGAGATGTCATTGCAGGCCACTAGGATTGACCTTGCCAGAGAACCTCTGGGAGCCTCTGTAAAACGTCCCTCAGAATTGTCCCTCTAAGGCTTCCATATCCAGCCACCTTGCAGTAAAACAGAATAGCCAACTTTCCTTCCATAAACAAGCAGAAAACCCAACAAAAATGCGAAACAGCTGTCCTTAAGACAAAGACATTGGCCAACAGGCATCAGAAGGACTAGGATTCCTGAGAAGAGGAAATAAACAAAGTTAGGTCCATGATCACCCTGCACTTTCTGCTGGAGCAGTTTGACCACTGTGCAAGGAGGGGAATCCCAGGCTGACCTTGGTGGTCTTGCTGAGTTGAGGAGACACAGATTTGAATCCGGGAAAACTTGGGTAGAAAGAAGTTATAGAATCGTTGCAGAAAGGGGAGATCTGTGCAGGAAAACAGAACTCCAGAAATCCGCATTGAAGTTCCCTTAGGTCTCTTTGAATAATGTTAAGTCACACTTCATAGAGTGAAACACTCTACATCAGAGAGTTACCAGTGGTTTCTGAGCTGAACAATTCTCAGACTTCACATGGAGCCGGCAGATGTTTAAGGTCTGGCCTGTCAGGGTGCAGAGAATATGTGAGCACTCAGGATTCAGTAGAACAGAAGGGACATGTCTTACAGTCTACCTGCACATGACTCAGAACAAAGGACATGCACTGGACCACCCTGACAAACTCAAAACAAGCTGCAGAAAGATCAAGGTGACAGTCTAGTTAGAGCAGAAACTTAAACTCTAAAGAAAGAAAAACAAAACCTTGGCATTCAGCAAGGTAAACGTCTAAATTTCCTACTTTCAATCAAAAATTACTATACCTGCCAAGAAGTAGAATAGCATGAACCATAACAAGGAAAAAATAGTCAATAAAATAGATTCAGAAATGGCAGAATGAGGACAGGTATTTGGCCTAGTGGTTAAGATGCCAGTGAGAATGCCCACATCCCAAATGCAGTGCGTGGGTATGAGTCCTGATTCAGTTCCCAACTCCAGCTTCCTACTAATGAGCACTCTAGGTTGCAGCAGGTAATGACTCAAATACTTGGGTCCTTGCCACTAATCATCCAGGTCTAGACCTGGCCTTTGCAGGCATTTAGGGAGTGAACCAACAGATGAAAGCATCCTCTCTCTCTTTCTCAAATAATAAGTAAGTAAGTAAATATATACATACATACATACATACATACATACATAGAAATTGGAGAATGAGCTTCATGGTACTGTAGGTTAAGCCATCACATAGGAGACCAGCATCCCATATCAAAGCATCAGTTTAAGTCCTGGATGCTCTCTTTCTGATCCAGCTCCCTGCTAGTGTGCCTGGGAAAGTAATAGAATACTGTCCAAGTACTTGGTCCCCTGCCACCAACCGGGAGATAGGTTTGGAGCTCCAGGATCCCGGCTTCAGCCTGGCCCAGTTCTGGCTTTGTGGTCATTTGGAGAGTGAATTAGCAAATGTAAAAACCTCCTTGTCTCTCTGTCTCTCCATTTCTCTCTGTCCATCTGCCTTTCAAAGAAACAAATCTTAAAAAAAATGCAGAATTATAGAATTAATAGATTAGGATTTTAAAAGTAGCTGTTATAAATATACTCAAGGATTTAAAAGTAAAAATATAATGAAAAGAGAAATTTTTATATATTTTATTTGTTAAAAATAAATCTTTATTTGATTTCAAATTGACTTATTTTATTTTATAATCTGAGTACTTCAAGAAGTTATATGGAAATGGAAATAAAATATAAGTTAATTTTGTTGCAAATAGTTTTTGAAATTCATGCATATCAAAGACCTTCAAAAGGTCCATGGGAAACACATATTATTAAAAAACTATAGGGGCCAGCGCTGTGTTGCAGTAGGTTTAAGCCCTGGCCTGAACCACTGGCATTCCATATGGGTGCTGGTTCTAGTCCTGGCTGCTCCATTTCCAATCCAGCTCTCTGCTATGGCCTGGGAAAGCAGTAGAAGATGGCCCAAGTCTTTGGGCCCCTGCACCCAAGTGGGAGACCTGGAAGAAGCTCCTGGCTCCTGGCTTTGGATTGGTGTAGCTCTGGTTGTTGTGGCCATCTGGGGAGTGAACCAGCGGATGAAAGACCTCTCTCTGTCTCTGCCTCGCTCTGTAACTCTGACTTTCAAATAAATAAAATAAATCTTTAAAAAAAACTACACCTGAAATTCAAACTTTTTGCATCCAAATGAGCTTATATTTCATTCCATTTTCCACTAACTTTTTGAAGTACAATTGTGTAAACATACATAAAGAAAGGAAGAGAGAAACTTCCAGAGTTGTCCTAACAAGGAACTGGGGAAATAGAATATTCATCAGTTACTCCTGTGCTTCCTTGAGGTTGCCTCTGAGGGCATTAAATCACAGACCATCCTACCTGTAATCTGATCCAACTTTCTCTACCTGGCAGGCACCCTCTCTCTCCCTGGGATGGAGAAAGCCTTAGGAAGAGAAGCAGAGGAGTAGAGGAGCTTATGTTGAGAAGCTGAGGCCCACTGCAACATACTGAACTCAAGGGTGGGTGGCGGGGATCTGCCGTGGGCCTCCACGGTGAGAGCAGAACACGCCCTTCTCCTCGGCGTGTGCCAGGGAGTCAGGGAAAAGAGAAGCATGATCATCTCTTTTTCTGGATCCACCTACGCTGCTGTTGTGGGTCTGCCCTCTTCCGATGTCTCTTCATTACTTCTGCAAGTCTTGACAGGGTATCTCAGGACAACCCACCAAGAAGGACCCACGACAACAAAATAGACCCAACTGTGTTTCCCCCTCTCCTTCTCTGGTATCTTTGGCAACACTATTCAGGAATCTTGGTCTCTGTTGTCAATGCTGTTGCTGGCTAATGGGCTTTTGAAGTTGTGATGTGTCACACAATATCCTTTTCCTATTTCCTTCACCCCACGACCACCAACTCACACACCCCCATGTCCCGCTTCCAGCCATAAGACCCTGAGGAGTGGGAAACTGCCTTGCATTTGCAAGGTGTCAGAACAACAGCTTACATATCCACTTGATCTAAGCCTGAGACCAGCTGATGTCCCTGGAGTTGGCTTGAAGATCAATAGCAAGAACCAGATTTCCAGAGCCATGAATAACATTAAATCCCTGAACACTTCAGAAAGTGCACTCTGCTATTGTCATTCTATAGAATGTGAGATGAGGTTTGATTGAGATCAAGAAAACTCTCCCAAGATCACAGTGATAGTGCTGGAATTGACTCCAAAACCAGTCTGAGCTTTGAAACCAGTCTAACCACTCTATGAATTAAAACATCCCCTTTGTTTTTGCTGTGTCCTATGTTCCTTACTGACCACAGCTAAGTAGCCAGTGCAGCAAGCTCCAGACAATGTTTGAGGGTAAAGATTGGCCTTAGGTGTGAAACTTGGCCTCAGGTA